ATGTAAAATTCCTGTTTGGGCCATGTTTAACAAGATATTATTATATGTTCCCGACATACATTTTTCTCAAACTTGGTTCGAGGTTACTTCACAATATGTTCTTCTAGGATATTTTATTCAAAAGTGGGGCACGTAATCGAAAAGTCCAAAATTTTGGTTTAAAATGCCGATATTCACTAATTTTGATGTAAAATTCCTGTTTGGGCCATGTTCAACAAGATATTAATATAGGTTCCCGACATACAATTTTTCTCAAACTTGGTTCGAGGTTACTTCACAATATGTTCTTCTAGGATATCTTATTCAAAAGTGGGGCACGTAATCGAAAAGTACAAAATTTGGGGTTGAAATACTGATATTTATTACTTTTGATGTAAAATTCCTGTTTGGGCCATGTTTAACAAGATATTATTATATGTTCCCGACATACAATTTTTCTCAAACTTGGTTCGAGGTTACTTCACAATATGTTCTTCTAGGATATTTCATTCAAAAGTGGGGCACGTAATCGAAAAGTACAAAATTTAAAGTTGAAATACTGATATTTATTAATTTTGATGTAAAATTCCTGTTTGGGCCATGTTTAACAAGATATTATTATATATTCTCAACATACAATTTTTCTGAAACTCGGTTCCAAATGACTTCACAATATGTTTTTGAGATATCTTATCTAAAAGTGGGCACCTAATCGAAAAGTACAGAAATTTGGGGTTAAAATGCCGACATTTATTAATTTTAATGTGAAATTTCTTTTTGGCCATGTTTGACAATGTAATATTATATGTTCCCAACATATAAATTTCATAAAACTTGAATTAGGATGACTTCAATATAAGTTCTTTTTTATATTCATCTTTAAAAATTCTGCCCGGCATCGGAAATTACAGATAAGTTTCGTGTAATTCCGAGTGTAGCAAATTCGCCGTAAATCTGGCAAGTACTTTGCGACTAGCTTTCCTTTTTTCCGATGCGGCATTTAAGTGCCATGTTAAATCGTTTTCTGGCAACGCTATTTTACCGTTCCGAAAACGAGAGAGATGTCCGCTGAGAGATGTCTGCTAGGGTAACTTTGGTTTGGTGCACATACTTCTGGAGGTCCCTTTTTACCTAACCCTAACCTTAAAGCCAACCACATCCATATGGAAAATGTTCTAAATTATGGTACCCAAAATGTGTCACCAGCAGGGGCAGACCTGCCATTACAGCATTACTGGCTACATACGTTGGTTTGTGTTTTTAATTTGCTGCCGTGGTACTCCAACTCAAAACAAGGTGCCCCGAACTCATTGCAAAATTTTTTTCTGCTTCACACTGTTTCCCTCTGTTTTGCGCTCTTTCCCTATGTTTTGCGCTCTTTGCGGTGTTTCGCGCTGTATTCAGTAAGTAGTAAGACCGGTTTATTCTAACTGTTGGAGGCAGGGGTGTGCAACCTTTAATACAGGCGAGCCAGATACAAATAACTGGGTTTTCTCTTACAATAAATCAGACATACAACAACTAATATAAACTTTTCAAAGCAAGCGAAGACACATATGACGTTCAAAACGAACAAATTTTCGCGTTCAATATGCAGACTGACAGACACGGCGCAGTAAATCATGGATAATGTTGTGCATCCATGTGTCCTCGACAACGGCAAAATTACAAATAGAAAAAGTGCGATAATGTTCTATTCGCTAGATGTCACTACTGAATCAGTAGGCTACGAGTCACTTTGGGCTACGGCAGTGGTCGGCAACCTTTTTTAATTGACGGACCGGTTTAGCCCAGGTATATATGGGCTTTGGTTTAGCCTGGCCAAAATTTTGACGGACCACCTTTATATAAACGAACTAAGCTTATGTAATGAATTCAAACGCGTTAGAAAATCTATGTTGACAATATACACAAAAACGAAGAGAGAGAGAGAGAGATTTATTTCCACAAACAATGAAAAAACAATATTAAATAATATCGATAATTTTTAGAGAGTTAGACTATAATGAAAACAATGAAAAAAAGTATAAAACAATATCGATGATTTTTATAGAAGTAGTCCAATTTACACATTGTTTTGTGTTGGCCAGTATGCAAGACCGTTGAAGGTCATCAAGGCTCCTGACCAATTTAACACTGTTATTGATTAAGAAGTCGGAATTAATTATCACAATATAAATATAAAAAAAAAAACGGAGAATGAGTCGGCAGATGTTTTAGTTCCACGATTCAACACTAAAAGCACATTGTGATAGAGTTTAGAGGACATGTGTAAAATATATATAATACCAGTGCTACATTGTGATCTAGTACATTACAGATCGCCATAACCGAGTCGGGCTCAGTATGAAATATAAATGAACAGAATAGTACAGACACATTTGCACCATGTTATATAAATATTAAGGTAAGACAATTATTGGACACGTAGTGGACATAACGAACAATATTATGTTGTTGTTGTTTTTCGTCAACATCATAATTAAAAAAATCGCTTTACTCTTCGAATACTACCCCAAATGGCATTGAAATTTTCACTGGTTAAAGATGGTATTTTTCCCAGGCGGCTATTACTTTTTTTTTTATGTGAAAATTATGTGGCTCTACGTGTCCATATATTTGAGCATAGCTCTCTTGTTAAACAGTATAAACTAATCCTGAGGAAATATACACTGATATACAATCGGAAGTTGAAGATATAATGCAAACTGAAAGAATAATAGATATTTCAATATTCAATCATATTAATGACGGATTTGAAAAAAAAAAAAAAAAAAATGTTAACTAATCTGAATACATTGTTAGCAAAAGCTTTTTCATTTTCTTAGTAAAAAGAGATAGAGACACATTTTTTATTTCAGATGGGACACCACCCCAAACCTGCACGCCATTATATTTTAAAAATCGCTTCCCAACATCAGTGGAAACCTGTGGTGTAAAATAGGATCTAATTTTTTTGGATCTAGTCGAAGGTGATGATATTTATTGCGAGATCGGCAATTGTGCTATTGTTTCCAATCCGGAGATTGTATAAAACATCGATATTTAGCATCTTTTTCGAACCGCGGAACACTTTTTAGATTATGAATTTTTCGCGGAACAACAAACGAAAATTTCTAAATTTCGTGGAAACTATCCGAATAAGCAATAATCACTGTCAGGTTTCGCGTAGGAATGAAATTACAGCAGGACCAATGACTCAAGTTGTAAAAAGACGTAACAAATTCATTACTTCAGAGAACAAAAGTACACTGAAGTACCAATGAAAAATATTTAAAACTGGCTGTTCGTAGCTGTTAATAGCAATGCAATTTTAATATGATATATATATGAACTTGTTTAGATGAGCACGCATCGTTTATTTTGGTCTGAATTTAGGAATGGCAAACACGTAGTTCTCCTTCAATGGTCGTCTTTCTGGCGTCAAAAATTCTACTTGTACTTCTACTATTAAATGAATTTATTGCTTCTTTAGGGGTATTCTACGAGTCGGGTTTTGAATTTTCCCAGCTTTGATCAACTTTTATAATTCACATTACGAAAACGAGTCAATGTTCCCGAAAATGATTAAAAATGGGGTTTAAGCGATGATTAAATTTTTACGTTTCCGTTTACATTTAGCTGTTCAGTTATTGTTTCAACTTTCGGAACAACACGGAACACCAGCTTTCAGTCGTAGGGTTTGTAGATATTAGATTGTATATATGTTATCAGGGCCTTGTCTGTTTTTAGGTCATCTTTCTGCGGACCGGTAGTCACCTTTCCGCGGACCGGTGATGGGCCGCGGCCCGGTGGTTGCCGACCACTGGGCTACGGCACGGTACATGGCGCGGATGCTTCCAACAATCTTACCTAATTTTTTCAGCCATACCTAGAGGGAGAGAATTTTATTTTAGTTTCGTCAAACCAGAAAACAATATATATATATAATAGCAAAATGAGAAAAATTAGGTTTCGGTAGATGACAGGGTGGTAACGATACGACCATTAACAGTCATCTGAGTCGGTTAGCCTACCACCCAAAGCAAGCACATGAATAAATAAATTAATAACACAGGTTCTGTAATATTACACTCTCTGGATATACATATGATAAAAAAAAAACTATATACACTATGTAAAAAAAATGATATCTGATTAGAGATGAAATAAATTTCTAATCGGGATTAGGAAGGTATTTAAATAAATTTTGAGTAGAGAAGAGCAAAAAATAATAATTCCATACCAAATATATTATTATTTAGTATATTAATTTACACTTTCAATCTGTTCTGAAACTTCTTTTATGCTTACACATGATAAAACATAAGAGATAAGATCACAGGAAAATTGAAAATTCTATAAGTGACAATGTGTTGTGTGAAGAAAACCATAGATTGAGATATGAATTATAGGCATAACAGTAATACAATTTTATATTTTCAATTCATTAGGGTGGAGAAAAAAAACAGAATGCATATAGAACTTCTGCGAGATTTACTACACATTACTACGCAGAACAAGTATTAAGATGGGAAACAATCAGATTGGCATTGCAACCCTTCACAAATAATTTGGAAATAGACAAATATGACTATGAGTTGAAATAGATATGTATTATTGAATAAATTTTGACAAGGCTGGGTCAAATTAAATCACGATAGCCCAAAATATATTTCGTCTTCGCGAGTCGGCTTTCCGCGTTGGTAGGTTATCCGACAGTTCGACTTCCAGTGGCCTAGAAAGAAATACTGCTCTACCTACGATAGCTAAAAATGTTTAAACTACGGAGCACTCAAAACTACCAAAAATACACCAGTTGAGGCTGAACGTGCTTTTTCATCAAGTTGCTCGTGTCTAAATTGTATCCAAGGCGCACATCAGGACTCTGCTACTTCGAAACCAAATAACAGCGTTCGAGTAACTGGGGCTGGGGCAATATTGAATACAGTATGTTCATGAATCCGCAATGCAATGTCATTTTCAAATTCCAGATAACTAGAAAATTGTGACGTCACAAAAACTCTCTCAACGTTGGCCAGTCCGCCATTGCAAGAACCAGAAGTCTGGTAGGCTATGTAAGATTCTGGCTTGAATCATTGTTCAATTTCCTCAATAAGCAACCTGAAATGGAACAGATGTAGATTTGGAGGACTATTTTATTGCTTCGATTAATAGCCCAGATATTAAAAGCTTTTCTTATCGAAAGTAAAAGCTGAAGAAAAACTTGTAATGGGTGGACAGCAATCGAGCACATCTTCAAGTGAACGAAAAAAAAATTCAAAGCAACCGTACGGAACTGATTGTGAACACCAGGACCAGAGGTTGGTACATTAAATGCTACGATTTGATCTGAACATAAGTTTTATACCAAGGGGTTTGTTTAATTGACAAGGCAGGTGGCTAACATTACATAAGTCATATTTTTTTCCTCACTGGAACTACTATATTCGTAGTAGGCCTATCGTCCCCAAAGAATGGAAAAAAAGACTGATAACCCAATATTGATACAGTAATCAGGATAGGTATAAACGTTTACTGCTTATAGTCATTTGTGAGGATATTCCCTCTAGTCTGTATAACAATGGCAAATAAAATATATTTAATTTCAACCGGTACTATCTGTGACTTTTTGTGTCACGACTCATCAGGCATGTTATTCTAAGCACAAGCACGGGCCGAGTATAACTTTTGTGGGCTATCCAACCCTGCTGTTATTTTAGGGCGGTTAATGGTTTAGCCTCGCGCGTTGACGACGAAAGTTCCAGTTCCACTGAAGTAGAAAGCACAACTTCATCTTTATCCACTACCTCATCGACTAACCTACAACTACCCAATGAAACCAATCCACGGAAGAACGTTGATGATCCAGCAGTAAGTACATTTGCTCCATACCACGATTCAGTTTTTTTTTATGAATGAATCGGTAAGATGCATGACAAAATATTAAAGTCATATTTGTTTACGAGAAAGCAAAACATGCACATTTTAACTGGTATTTCAAGTAGTTTTGGTGTTCAATTCGTTCTTACCAAGATACTGAATGGTGCTCCGAAATTGATGACCCGATTATAAACACATTCAAAAAAGGAAGTTTTGCTGAAAGTATTGTAACTCGTTCGTTGATGTTTATTTGTAAACACGAGTGTACTTAGTTCTCGAACTACGCAGTATCTGCTCTTTGAAAACCCGAAATGCATTTTTTTCAAATATTGTCAACTTTGATATTATCATCCTTACTATTTTAGTAAATTTTTTGTTGCATGTACAACATAAGGAAACTGAAATTGACTGCCCGAAAGATTCCGATTTACCGAAGAAAAAAGAAACCACATCAAAGTCGACTGATTCTTCCGTCCAATTGCTGAATCCCGATGACATTAAAAAAGAACAGCACGTTTCCAAACCTGTGGAATTGGCGAATACATCCGTAAGCTTGCGAAACACAACATGTGAAAACAGCTCCTCTGAGATCGGGCCTGCCAGGGTGAGAAATACGAATTTCTTTAGATAAAAAATTATTATAACAGATATACATATATATATTCTGTAGAAACTTTTGATGAATCTTTACATGCAATAAGACACATTTTTTTCCTAATTATTTGGTAATATATTTCATACCATTCCAAGAAACACGGTGTCATAGAATTGAGCGTAATTTTTATTTCTAGGCTGATAAAGGCTCAGCTTCACCGTGCCACCAAAAAAAAACTGCTGACAAACCAGGAATGGCATCGTCTCGTTACGCGAAATACTTAACAAGTACTAATACAATCAAAGGCGACTTTTCACAGATGTGTAAGACTATTTCAGGCAGTAATTTCTCTCCTATTGGTGTTGTAAACGAGAAAAAAGTCACGGCGTCACCTTGTGACAACACACAATATTTAAAAGTGGGATCAGGTGACAAGAGTTCAGTAGATCATTCTGCCACGGTCAACATAGGTATAGGGAACACTACAAATCTACAACCTGAGAAAATTCCATCAGCTGCAGATGTTTCACATTCGAAAACTTCAGATAAGAAATATGACTCTCTAAATCCTTCAGTTTCTAGTAAATCTGTTTGCGATGACGGCCCTGCATTATTGGCTACTAGTGCTAAAGATGAGAATAAAAAAGCTGGCGAATTGTCTTCAACGAAGATTCCAAACGCCCCGCCGCTTTACCATGTTCCCAGTATGAATAACACTTGTCCTACCACGAATCCACTCACCAGTCCTGTTCATAATGAAATGTTCGACACCAAAATACCTCCATTACCGAAAAAGCCTGTACAAAAAGAATTACACAGCTTTCTTTTGAAAAAGAAACCATGCTGTATGGGCGGTGTAAAAATAGATAATGCCCAAAAACGCAAACCTCGAAAAGATGATCTTGAGACGAACAACGCCAATTCTCACCATATCAGACGTTTGCACGCCCTTGATGACAAGTTTTTATCAAATTCAAATGAGAAGTCGGTGTATTGGATCTTGGGAAGATACTTGTCGAATGAGGAAATTGCTTCCAGAATCATTGATAAATACCGTTTATACTATTGCACAGTAAGTATCATTATTTCTATTTTTGTTAAATAATACCAATGCATGGATCAATTGTTAAATAGTGTAGAGGAGCCTGAGTCTACGAGATACGTCTGTCGTCAGGTCCACGTAGATGGAATAGAGATGACATGACGTGTGAGAACCCTCAGCGAAATGTCTGAGTAATGGATCTCATGTCGGAGAAGTAGTTACTCTCGTAGAAACCCAATCGATAGTTCAAAAAAATTCGATCCTGAAATCATTCGGTATTCAAAAAATGCCCCCCCCTCCCCCCTAATCATCAGCTGCGATATACACTATATATACAGTATTATGAAAACGTCGACAATACTGCCGTCCTCATAAAAAATTCGCATATTGCTTTGCAAGCTTATAAACGCATTTATAATATTGGAATATGTAGAGTTTACTTTATACCATACAATTTTTTTTAGATATTTAGTAGGCTATATATATTCGCTTTGGGTGAGTAGATATCATATTTTTCTACAGAGTGGTGAATGCGATGAAATGAATTTTGATCATCCGCAAAAACTCATATCGTACTTTTTGACGCGTTCATTTGACAATATGCTGCCTTCAGAAGTTGCTTTCTTATTATCGGAAAAACACCGTCTTTACAAGGGATTGCAAATTCCCAATGAAGTGAAGAAGTCCAAATCGTTACAAGAATATATCAAGAAACATAAAACATATTTTGAAATTGTTCAAGTGTTTGAAACAGCAAAGGGTTAGTTTGACTTGAATATTTGGAATGGATCGTTTTTTTTTTTCAAATATGTGTAGGCTACAACCTTAGCTTGCTATATCCGCGCGGTCCAGTTTAGTTAAATAAGTAAGTACACTTCATGACATCTCAATCACGATTCATTTTTATGCAAAAATTTGCATAAAATGTTTTTATCGCTGGTCGCGGCGAATCTTTGAATTATGAGTGTCTTAAACTTGAAGACGGGTGCGGCATTGGCAAAATCCTGAGGAATAATTTGAGTTTATTAACCGTCAGTAGGTCTGGTCAAAATCAAATACATTTTGTTCCTAGAATTGAATAGTATTTCAGAATCCAATGAAGTATTTTAATCTTTCGACTGCGTGCTTACTGTGATGCCGTGACGGAGGTGCGCATGGCCACTTTATGAAAACACCCATACGCTGATCAGACTGTTGTACAACAAACGATTCAAACTGTCGAATTGTTCGATACCCCTAGTCACTATTTTATGATTGATATATATGATTCTTTAACATTCATTTAGCTAAAATACTCAAGCGTCGATCACAGACCAATTTTGAACCAGTAAAAGATGAAAAAACTGAGAAAAATGAATCTCCCAAAGTGAATTTTACAAGAGTCAAGCGTGATTGCCAGGTTTGTATTATCTACATACACACAATTCTTAAACTTATAATCTTACATATCATTTCAATCGAAATAAATTCAGAAAAAAAGATTACTCGCTGATGCCATTGTATATCGGCCTAATACAACATTATGAGAAGTTTGAAATCTCGCGTTAGTAAGTCGTTATTGGATAAAAGACACATCTTGATTTTTGATAATATCTATAAATTCATACTAAGGTTACATCGTACAATCTGGATAAACAAATTTAACACTCTAGGTGAAGTAGTAAAAGAAAAGCAATTTGATGCGGTGACTTTCTCAATATTTTGGGTGGTAAATTTTTTTTCATCGAAAACACCAATTATAGGTAACGTGAAAACCATTATAGCTTAGTTTTTAGATTATAGAACCGATGATATGAATCAGTCAAGCAAAAACTGACACAGCAACTGATACTGTTATTACGAATATACATTACGTTACAACGCACATTATTCCCTGTTTTGTGTCACAACCCTTTATACTTCAGCTTGAGGACCAATTTGTATTTGATTCGAGGATCGTCGATACGAATTCGGAAGGCGAAAAACCTAAAACGATAAAGAAATCCTTCATTTTATGTGGGAGCTTCACACATAAACTTCCCGAAGACAACGGTGAGAATAATGTTTTGTTTTTCATGCCCAACTGAAAATGGCTCCATAGTAATGTCGATGAATCTTTCAGTAGAGAATTATATTATGTTCTTCTGAATGTCTGAAAATTGTCAAACCAATGAAAAAAATAAAAAAAACTTCCACCCCGGTGCTCAGAAACATCTGCAAAGATGAATATCATCGTACACTAATCAATCAGGGGCGAAAATCCATATTAAGACGTTATCGTGATGACATAAAAATTCGTTCGTTAGTTCATATTTATGACATAATGGTTGAAGACTTGTCCAAAAATCTTGCTTGTCTCCATCTCATCGGTGCTTATATACGGGTGAACCAAAGAACAAACAAAAAAAACAGGTCATTTGGAACCTACAGAGAAAACAAATTTTGTGCAAAGCGTCCTAGATTACTTAAACTTAAATAAATAATTTATTCATTTGCACAAAAGTAATTGGAAAATTTATGGTTTCTGATATTTTTTTCCGATCACCCTGCATGAAAAGTGTTGGTTAGCTTCGAAAGTTAGTCAGCCTCGCGTGATTGGCCAAGTCACGCAGTAAACATAATGTTGTGAGAAACGCAAAAAATTATCGTAAAGTATTAGTATAGCTTACTTGAATCGTTAGATGCTGAAATGATACTGGAACATATATATATTAGTATGTGCAGTGGTGGAATTCAAATTTTTTGTCAGCCGGTTCTATCACAAAGGTCATATTTTTCAGCCGGTTCTGTTACAAAAAGTCATATTTGTTTAGTAAATAAACCAGTAATGCTAACCGGTTCGCTGATCTCATAAAATTCCGTGAGGTGGTTCTATAGAACCGATGCGAAACGGCTGAATCCCACTACTGAGTATGTGGCTTCCTTGAGTCATTAGATGCTAGTATGAAAAGAGAACACTTCTCGGAATATTTTGATCACACATATGACTTTCACATGCAGTTATTCTAATGTAGTTTTTGAATCATTCCAGCTCTGACATTTCGTGCCGAGAACATTTCTGACGATTTAGATGTGGTTAAAATGTTTGAAGATGGACTTCGAAAGAAAATGGCTTCTGGATCTGAAAATATTATGAAAGTATTTTCTATGATTTGGGAGTCTGTAGAATCTGAAGAAGAAGATCGGTTTGCACGTTTCAAAAGTTTAGCATTGTTTGGGTGGCATCCTAAATACAGGACACAAAATTATGCTACGATGCTGGATGAAGTGTTGCGTGATAAGGTGAGCGTGTTTTGATCTATTTACGCCGAAGAAACCGATGACGAAAGTAGTGTGCAATTCTATAAGTATCGTATTTCTCCTCAATACGCGGGTGTATTCTACCACTTGGATCGCCAGAAATTTTCAATCTCCATAAATAATACGCATAGCCGGTTTCCGTTTCTCTTTTGCGTTGCGGGTATTTTTTCTCAGCGGAGCGTATTAGACATTCTGTCTGATTTTTATTAACTATATCTCCATAACTTTATGTACTATATCCCCCCTTATTCTAAAGGCGAAATTTAAACTTGGAAATGCGTATGCGTAGTATACGCGGAGAAATATACGGTAATCCAAATTTATTTATTCCATGCCTTCACGTTAACATTTTCGAAGACATTAACACCAAAGTTAGGTCACATGCGCCGACTCAGAAGTAAAAAGGAGGTAGCGTGCTACCACCGAAGTGCGGGATTGGTCTACTATTTTCAGAAAGTCAAATTTCTCGCAGACCCGTCCCAACACACATAACTCAATTACATGATAATATTTTTTATAAATTTTCGCCAACGCGAAATGAGTCTGAATAATTCTACCTGAAATATATTAGTTGTTTCATATGTTTAGATACTGCCGCTGCGAAGCTGGGTAACGATTTTTGTGTTTGTATGCCTGTCTAGTTTACCATATTTTAAAAATATTTGGGGGTGTTAATAATAAGTATAAGTTTATTTCGACTCCATAATCAGCAATAGACGATGAAATAATAGATAAAAACAAAAATGAAAGTAACTGATTATAGAATCGGGAAAGCGAACAAAACCTCGAGTAAGGTTTGAAACGTACAGATTTTAGATGGAAAGGTATTGATAAAAAGTGTACTGTGTAGTACGTGTTCGCTCACCCAAACAATACCCCACTTTTCACCGCTAAAAGCGTTCTTTTTTTTTCATTTTATAGCCTGTTGGTTGCCCAACTGAAGAACTGATTTCTTGGCCGTGGAATGCAGATTGTGATCGTCTGACAAGAAAAGTTCGCTGTTTGATGCGAATAAATACAACAGTCAAGAGATTGAGTTCTCAATCCGCGACAAATTGTCCGCACGAGTTGGCTCGAAAGATGAAGGGTTTGTACAAAAAAATAAAGTTAAAACAGTGATATTTCTAGTTGTTCGCAGAAATTATTGTACTTCATGTATGCATGATTACATACATGAAAGTATTGGTTCCTATTTAGTGGTGTCTTTCAAAATTTGAACACCAGGTTCTACTTTGCATTGAACTCACTAACAACAAGATTCATCATTTCAGAGAAGCATGCCAAATTTATAGCTCTAAAAACAAGATTGGGTTCGCTGGTTATCACTATCAGTACAGGTTCGTCTGGCGCAGTGGTTCCCAAACTTTTTGAATGACGGATCCCTAGCAAATTTTTAAATGATTCGCCCGGCCTTGTGTACTATAACAAAACGAACAAAAGAATATAAAACGCAACTCCAATTATATGTTTGACATCGAGTCTGTTTCAATATTTGGTAAACGTGCAAAAGGGCAGCCTCAGCTACAGCTCTGCAGTTAGTAAACTTGTGGTGGCATGAATTGAACTCTCTCTGTGATAGCACAAGCCCACAGCTCTGTGACATCACAATGTGGCAGCGCGATCGAAACAGAAAGTGAAAAATTAAGGTCTCAAGCGGTGATTGTGAAGCAGCAAAAGACGACAAATTTGTATTTGCAAATTTGAGCACTTAACTTTTGTATTATCAAGATATTAGCTATATGCAGACCCCAAAAGGTCCGCGGACACTAGTTTGGGAGCCACTGGCTAGCGCTTTATTGCGAAATAAATCTTTAAGTGTACTTAATGTTGCGTTCTAAGAAAGCATATATGTCTTGGCTTGAGACCACTGGACACTTATGTTTATGCTATCCCATTTGTTCTGTTCTGGCTTTTTTCGTTGTTTTATATACGATATACATATTATATTAGGGAAGCGAGGAAAAAGGTCGAAGTGGAGACCTCCCGAAAACAGAAATGATCAAACACACCAAGATACCTCTCAGAATCCCAGTGATTCGTGCACATATCAAGCTTGCCAAATATTTCACGATGATTTTATTGACGACAACATCTCGGTCGTTAGCAAAAGCGTAGTGGTGTATCCTCTATATCTTACTTGCAACGGAATGATGGTATTTCTCTCTGGTAAATCACACGGAGGAAACGGTATTTTCATTTTGATATTATGAAATAATAAGAATACATATGGTCAATATATATAGCCAGCCTAAATTACACCCTTGGTGTATAAAATGACCATACACTGACATGGTCTCTGTATTCCAGAGAGCGCCTCACTGCCTTTAATTAAATAGAAATGGTTCCTATTGCTTCTTTCTCAGTATGTATTCATTAGTAACATTTTCTTGAAGGCAGCATACGAGACAAACATGGGTGTGGAATCGAGTTTGACATGTTTTTGCTGTTGTCAAAGCGGAAGTCTTATTTTTCAACAGTCCGGAGCCGGAATCAGATTTTTACACTGATATTGTATTTTTTTGCAGACTCAAATAGCATTGAATTTACTAAGTACACCTAACAGTCAATCAATTTTTTGTTTTCGGAATTTGATTTTCTTAGAGTTCGGAACTAAAGTAGGAGTCAAATTTTTTTTTTAACCCGGATTCGGAGTTGATTGTAAATTTCCTCCGACACCACAGCCCTAGAGACAACAGAGTGCAAGTTTAACTTTATGTCGTCTCATTAAATACCTTATGTTTTGAAGGAAAGGAACCGAACACGACGTCACTCAAAATTCATGATATTTTACCAAACTTGTTGCGATGTAATTGTCCCTTGAACTTTCAGGACCGACTTGCTGGTTTGAATTATGTTATTAATATGAATTTAATTTTGGATTTCTGTTATAACATAGTGTATACAGATTCTCACCGCTCTTATTAACGCAAAACTTTCTTGAAAATCGAAAATCAACGTAATGTTTGTTAATGTTTTAAACACTGGATGGCACGAGCAATAGAGACTTGGAATTGGGAAAGTCGCACGCGCTGCCAAAGAGCCAATTGTAGTAACAGTAGAATCGACAGATACTGAGAAGCGAACCTCCATTTAGTAATAGCGCTTGAAAAATGACAATCACTTGAAATTGAGTTCCCCTCGATTGGCAGTATCTTATGTATAGCTGCCGATATGATTAAACCCGCTGTCGATGCGGCAGTCTAATACCCTTCTGCGGGTAGGTCACCCAAATGGCGATTGGAACCATATGTCCAAATCCATCGCTATTCCGAACTGCAATATGTATATTGGACACGAATGGACATAACGATCGTTTCAAAATTTTGTTGTTATTGGACACGTTTAGTGGCCATAACGATCGTTTCAAAATTTTGTTGTTATTGTTATTGTTATTTGTCTCCGTCTCCATTTTTAAAAAATCGCTTTTCTCTTCGAATACTGGACCAATTGCTTTGATATTTTCAGTGGTTAAAGATAAAAATTTTCTCCAGAAGGCTATTACTTTTTTTTCTCGCTATGACGTCATCAAAATTATTGCCACTGGGTGGCGCTACGTGTCCATATATTTGAGCATAGCTCTCTTGCTGTATTAATATTCGGAACAGGGATAATAACTTTGATAGGATTTGTTCTAGAAAGCGTAAATATTCTTGCTATTTTAGATTGTACCAGGATGTCATCGAAGACATTTTCTTCTGGAGAAAAACACCATCACGATGATCTTGTTGTTGATATTTTATTGCCAATGTATATGGATGACGTCACTAATTTTATTATGAGTGACTTGATGCTTGTATTACGCCTGCTTGCTCATTATATTGCCGATGTTCACAAGCAATGTTTTGTAAATGTAGATTTCGGGTATGTTACCTACACCTATTCTATATTCTACAATTACATGTCCATATTACGAAAACGAGACTACGTCAAAATTTACTTTATGCATCTTTTAGAAGTGCTTCAGATTTTGTTATTGCGTATACACATGCCGAGGCGTTAAAACGGGAGAGAGAACGATAAGTTCCATAACCCCGTTGGGTTCTTTACTTGAACACACTCAAATCCTTTCATCTGACATTACATAAAATGAAAAAAAATGAATATATATATAATATATACTTAAACGGTTTATAATTTTAGGAACACCATTAAAAACGTTGAAAAACATGTCAAGGATGTGATTTCACTGTGTGAAAATGTATTCTCCTTTCTATTATTTTCCGAAATATGGGGCCCAGCTGAAGAACATATGCGTGGATCATATTATCTCACAACGGCATATAAGCATTATCAGGCATCTCGAGATTCGGCTATAGATGCCGGTGTTTATCCAGTTTTTTCTGAGTAAGTTTTTATTTGTTGACTAAATGAAAACAGTTTCTGCCACCTTTTAACTATCATCGAAAGTTTATTTAAATATATATATATATAAGAGAGAAAGGTCCGTTGGTCAGCCTAATAAAATTGACTCGTTGTTATTTCGTGGCTTCGTATAAATTTACAAATCTTATTTGATGATATTAAAAACTTTATTATTACAACTGATAACTAGTTTTGTCGCAAATTTCGATGTCAACATTTTTATAACCTTTATAGGGGCATGTTTATTTCGGCGCTCCAGATTATGTGTACCAATATGAAGGTAACTAATTTTGTTCGCCTACTTTACATTAAGTTGTGTAAAGGGACGGAGGCCTATGGGCGGTGGGTATATTCACTTGGCTAACACAGACATTCTTCGAACTCGTAATAGAACTAAAATGGGGGAAATCGGAATAAAATTACGGCTTAACCCTAAATTAGTACACATACTACGGGAGTACCTTTATTTCTGCACAGATTGATACCAGTTCCAGAACAACAAATTGTTTGCTTATTTTCAGATTTATGTCCAACAATGTATTCAAACTTCCATGCAGTTTGCAATTCGTTCAAAACTCTTCGATGTACTCGGTTGCCTTGAGCTTTTTAGATCACCGAGTGCATTTGACGACTCCTAATGATTCTAATAACGATCTGGCTGGAGGGGATTCGGCGAAGGAATTTGGAATCGAGCCCATGTGCGTGGGACTTTTAGAATCGGCACTGGGTAAAGGATTTTTCTCCGGAGTAGATGACGATTTGACGTATAAATTGATAACAAATCAGGCTGAAAGACGTCGTAAATTACAAGGCTTAGCATTGCTTTCGCCGGTGTACGATCCCAAGCACACAGTCGAGGCAAGATTACGACTATTGGGCGTTAACGATGTAAGGTATACTAACAAAGGCCTGAATTCGATGCTTCCATCAGATAGCGAAGAAAAAATGGCCGAAATTTATAAAGATATTGCTGATGCTTTTGAACAGTCTCTGAAACAGGAATCGAAAGATACCGAAGATGGAAAGCTAAACGCAGAACAGGACAATCATAACTACGAGAAAACAGCGTTTGATGTTATGCAAGATATTTTTGAAAGTCTGAAAAAATCCAATAAATCTCAAAACGATTGTAAGGATTTACCAAAAGGTTTGGATTTAGATTATATATGTATATTTATTTACATTTTTGGTTAAGGATGCTCATTATTCGTAAACTGGTTAGGGGAGAATGTTCGCATTATTTTGAATCCGATTAGGCAGGCAAAATCGGCTCGGCTATAGTGAATTAATTACATCATACCGTGTCCAAATATAGCTTGAGATCGTCAATCTAATAAAGGGAATTCAATATTCAAAACAGACTTAAATTATCATGAAAAAAATTGTCATAAAAACTATATCGGTATTTCGTTACACTAGCTTGACTTTGACGCCCAAATAATGGTATTCTCAACTAAACAAATATTGCAATATATCATTTTATTGCCCAGCTAAGATATGATTTAATTGAATTCTATGTATAGGGACGCGTTTAACTGTTACTATCAGTCCGGTTTCTGGATTGGTTACCAGAGAGCCGAAAGGGAATTTAGAGACCTGAGTGAGTGAACTTGGATTCAGTCTAAGGGCCCAGCCCGGTCCGCTAAACCAGTGGTTCCCAACCGCCGGTCCGCGGGAAATATCATTTTGTTGTTTTTCTACCGTCTCAATGGCTTTACCGAAGCCGAAAAGACGAAGTTACGTTTGTTTATTACGCAATTTCTCTACCGCCGTCATACTGCTGTTTGATAAGAGCGGTATGGCCCGGCGACGCCTTGGCGCCAGGTAATTACACTTTTCGCTTTTTCGGTTCCGATTCATCGCGAAAGCGCTCCGTCAAATCTCGCAAGATTCAGAAACCTGCAAATCGGCATGCGTGCTATTCCCGTTTTGCAAGCTTTTCTTGATTAATAAGTGGAAATTACGTTGGTTTATTACGCAATTTCTCGCCCGCTTTTATTTGCTGTTTGATACGAGCGGTATGGCCCGGCGACATCTTGGCGCCGAGTAATCACACTTTTCGCTTCCGATTCATCGCGAAAGCGCTTCGTCAAATCTCGCAAGACTCAGAAACTTGCAAATCAGTATGCGTGCTTTTTCCGTTCTGCATGCTTTCTTGATTAATATTACCATACAGATAAAAGGTTATGAATATTTCTTTGTTCAAACCAGACTACTGTCAAGAACAGTATAATATTCCAGAGCTTTGCCTCGGCATCCAGCAAGATATAAACTTGTTGCGGCCCTGCAGGTGGTCACGAAACGCGCAACAACGTGAGATATTTTCCGGGGGATGCACAGCAGGATTTTGAGCCTGGTGCCAATTTAGAGACGACTTCATCATTGTAATATAAATTCATTTTGTTTGAGGCGTCGATCAGCTGCAGATGAATTGATATGATGAACCCGATAAAACCTCTACTTTACAGTCCAGGTTTATAAAAGAATCATTGTCACAATTCATTCTTGAGCTCTTTTGATAACGAATACCCATCACTAAGTAATCGAGCAATCAAAGTGTTCTCTGAATTTTCAACCAGTTACTTCTAGCTTTAATTAAAACGAAGCAAATAAATTGACTGTGAGCGAGTACATTTTATTTAATTTTACCGGTCCGCCAGAGTAGAAAGGTTGGGAACCACTGCCTAAACACATACATTTGTTTTTGTACATGCTATTGTTCAGTTTATTTTTAGATAACGACACTGTGATGATAGCTGACTGTATTGGCCACAACGTGAGTAGAAAGATTATCAAAGAACCGAATGAGGCTCCTGATGAAGAATCAAAAGTAGTTCAGAGTAAATCAGAATCGGCACAAACAAAACCTGAAAATGACCCTAGCTCAAGCAACGATACCGAGGCTGCTGTCATAGAGCAATCAGAAAATTCCGCTGAGACTGATTCAAAGAATGACAGTTCTGACAGCAAGGTAGTTCAGGCCAGAGGCAAAAAGAGCAGAGAGTATCTTTCTAGTGCCAAAAGGCAACAACGACAAGCAAAACGGCTGCGCCAAAAGTGGGAAAAGAAACATAAGACGGAGTCTGATCTTACTAAAGCAGATGTAGAGGAGCAATGATATCATCGAAATTTACAACTTAAAAGTCTTTTATTTTTGTTAGTTTTGTTCTTATATTATTTATTTTTATAATTTTGTTAAATATGCTAGTTGTTGTTTTGTATCAGTTGGTAATAAAGAAACGTTCTAAGCTAAGGCATGGCTATGTTATTTAAAACACTTTTGCTTGGTGATACTGAAAAACTCTGACTATCAGAGTCATTAGTCAATCGCCTTCCCGTTTCACTAATCGCGTTTAAGTGATGTAAAGAACATCGAAAATGTCATGAGTACAGACAGAATAATTTAAGTACTGTAAATCATGTACTAGACCAGTGGTTCTCAAACTTTTTTCGCCCCATACTGTACTTTTAACGTTATCATCGCCCTCAAAAACTACAACAAAACATCAAGTTACAAACAAATTTATTGCGAATCAATTAAGAAATAGCATGGTACCTGATGTTGTTAATAAGATGGAGGAATTTTAGTCAGGTGCAATCTAAAATCATCATCATCATTTGATTTGACTCTTTTCTGCCATCAAATATATATGATGTTAGAAATGAAGGAACCAACAATTTTACTTCGTCAAAAATGCCAGATGACTTGCGGTGACTATATTTTCAGTACATTTACAGGGAAAACGAGTCGTCGCGCTCACGACATTCATTAAAATTGCCGACTTTGTCACTGATGATGATTTTCTGTTGCGTAAAATATTTAGTTCATGGCCGATACGAGCATTAAAACTGTCTCGCGATATTAATTCAATTATTTTCAACGTGAATCGCCGTTGCGCCGAGTTACAATAAATGAAAATTTCACTATTCTGAAATACTACAATCTGATCTTTGGTTTAAAAGATAATTTTAGGATATCACCGTTTGCAAAATCCCAATGTCTGAGTACAATTTAATACGATAAAGTAAAAGCATAATAACTCTAATGCAGTAAACTGGCGCCTCACAAACAAAATGTTTGGGAACCACTGGACTAAGCAATAGTTTCCGATTGAAAATTTCGAGATAATTTAGTTTACCAACATAATTTCGATGTTCTCGGCTTAAATACCCACGTCAGGAAAACAATCGGTGTTTTTAACTTAATTTTAATCACCGAGAATGCGCAATTGCCCCTATCGCCCCGTTTCTTATCTCTTTTGCCCCCACTTTGGGAATCGTTGTACTAGACTAGACAAAAGGAAAGAACATAATTATGTTGGGGCATTCACAAACGCACGAAAAAATTTGCAGGCCCAAATGCTGATATATCAAGAGCTTGAGTTTTTTTAATGACTTAAATGTTTCGGATGGATGATTTTTGCACACCATATTCAGGTGCTTGTAATACGCGATGAATTACGGTATTTACTTTAGCCGAGGATCAGTTTCAATTTATATCATCGATATTTTCAACGGATATTTATATTCCTAAAAACTATGGTCATAATTTCAGCGGGCACAAGTGGGCCGGATGAAACACTCCGGTGGGCCGGATCCGGCCCGCGGGCCGTAATTTGCCCACCCCTGGCATAGAGCCCACAGAAATTTTGAAAAAAAAAGTAATAGCCTTCTAGCGACACAACAATCCTCAACCACGGAAAATTTCAAAGCAAGTGCTCCAGTAGTATAAGAGAAATCGTACGGATATCTAAACTTTCGCGTTACCGGTGCGGTAGGCTGCCGTAGTCTTCTCGACTTCGAGTGACCGCCTCATAATGCAACGATGATGGACGAAACCTCCACCAGTTCTCAAGCGTTCCGAACGGAGCCTTAGGATTCCGTGGTAGAAACCTAGGTGCTCAGTGAGCTATTCGTTAACTTCGTGGATTTATTGTGCGGCTATTGTAAATAATAGTCAACCTCCTCACGAGCTCCATAATACCAACAATTTGAGAACTTTTGCCATAGCGCCCACGGGAATCTTTGAACTGAATAGAAGTAATAGCCCCAGCGAAAAATACAATATTTAATCACTACAAATTTTAAAGCAATTGATCAAGTAGGTACTGAGAAAAGCGCGTTAATGAAAAACGACTTATATAGGTCCATCTCGTGTCCAAAAACTAACACTGATATTCCAACAGGACCGCTGTTCGTTTTGATTACACACGAATGATTCCTATGTAGTTGACTAAATTGCGTCAAGTGTTGAAATCAAAACACGCTCGCCACCGCACTAATGGTTAACGTACTCTAAACCAGAAACACAAGTTCGGATTGAGTCAGGTTGATAACATGCGAGTGGATTTCTCGGCTCATTTTGCTACATCTGTACAAAGATTTGTCGCAAACCGATTGGTACATGAAGATTACCTTGACAAGTAGTACAAAGTAGTTGATGAATTACAAGCAGATGGCTTGTCAGCCCAGACTGCCAGATGATCAAAGTTATAGATAATTCATTTGTAAACCAAGCTAATGGAAGATTGCAAGAAGCGATTTGAAAATATAGCTGAATAAATAAATTATTGAGCTTCATCTGCTCAATGATAATATATATTCTCATAGATTACCTCTTTCAAATCAGGGTGCTACAAAAAAGTGATGACAATACCGGACTATAAACAAAGTTAAATGACAGGAAACAAATGTAGCTGACTTACGACAAACATTGATTCTCTTTTTAAAGCTAAACCTGATTCGTCCTTTTAGGTGCGCTGGAATGCTGGAATGGCAACCGGAGTAGTAAATTTCATAATTGAAATATTCAAATTGCGTGTTTCATAGAACAGGCAGGAACAGGTTGAAAATTAATGTATGGAAAAATGCACGTAATGATTTCCTACCGAATAATTTAATTCCATGCCGCTAATTGTACCAATACTTATTCGTTCATTTCTATAACTTATTTATATTTTATATACCGGTATCAACTTTCGTTTGCCTTCACTCTTTTTTTTTTATTAGAATATGTTTATAATAGTGTTGACTTTATTTTTGTGATAATAAATCTGTCTCTCTCACTTTCTCTCTCAGTACTATAGTATTGAGCAAGAAGCATCCACAAAACGTTTTTAACTGGCTAGATAGTTTATGAAGCACGTGCAGATTTTGCATAACCTGTCCGCGTTTTTTGTGTGAATACCAAGTAGTAGACTCAAAACAGCGCTGCGTTTTGAAAAATGGAATTGTGGGAAATTACGTCATATCCGGCATATTACTTTACATTTTGCAAGTCCTAATCTGGATGACTTTAGGGGATTCGGGCAATATTAAAAAAAAAGATTTCCGCGAATAAGCACGATCTCCCCAAAAGACCCTTAGTACGCATATCATTGGATTATATCATGTCCTTCAATGATTTTTCTCTCTTTATCGTCCTTCACTCTTCTCAGCTGACGCCAGTTAGCCACTGCCTCCTACAACTGTACAACGACTGAACAACAGAACAAAGGTGCACGCTATAATTTCAGAATTTAAGGTTTGTGTTGCGTTTTTGGTTCAGCGTATCCAGAGATCGGTGTTGACTGACGTAAATTGTTGTGCTTTAGTGTGTTGGTATATTTCATAATTACTGAGGTCAGACTGCCAGAGAGCTTTCCCTTCTACTGTTTTTTGGATTGAGTTGGGTTATTGGATCATTTTGCTATTCCTGTATTTTGTTGTAGCCATAGTAATCAACTAGAATTTCCCCTTGTCTGCTTGTGTTCTGTTTCCATGAAATATTTTTTTATAATTGCCTTAAATCTGTAAATACAGAAATATGTTAGTAATCCTACCGTGGCGGTGTGGCTCATCGAGCTAAGCGTTACTGCGTTAGGAATACGCTCGCCACTGCACATCTGATTACCCTGCGTGGGTTCGCAGGTTCGAATCCCATACGGGGTAGTTGTATGCGAAAGGATTGCTGACTCCTCGCCGTCGTAGGGTGGTTCACGTAACCGCTGGTCGGTTACGGCTTCTTCCACCATCAAGTCCATGCTTCCAAAAAACAAATAACTAGGTAGCTAATCCCATACCCGACATGGACTGGTAACCGGAGGAGAGGTCGTGTTTCGCCATATGGTTAAGCCGTCTTATCGGCTTTCCTCTCCTCCGGGATAAATATGTAAATCCTATCCTAAGATACATATGATCTTTTTACTGCATTTTTCGAGCCCATCATCCACTGATATAGAGTTTATATACGTAGTCTATATATATATATATTTTTCTCCCTCTTTTCTTATATCAAATGTTTGTATTATATTATTATTTTCCATCATCTAAAGCACATAGAACTTTTATTGCTGGTGTAAATGGGTTCTCAATAAATCATGCCCTCCCCTAATAGTTTTTTGAGATTACATCGAATTTTTTAAAGTATTATTTGACCAACTTTTCTAATAGTCATCTTCAATGTGAACCATCACTTCAGCAAATAGGGTGGGAGTTGACCTCGTGGTCGTATCGCTCCCTCCTGTCAATACCAAAGCAATTTTATTTGTGTTTTTTATTTTTTTCGTATTGATGACTGTTTGTTTTTGGTTGACAAAATAAAACTCTTTCTCTCTTCTCTGGTTTTACAGTTTTCTGTATGTAACGTTAATAATAATGCAGTTATGTCGTGCTTGTAAAAATCCATGTAACTTAGGTAGGCTATTGTACAATATTAAACGGTTAGTAGCCTACATTCAAAACTGAACAAATGACTACAGATCTATTTGTAACTCATGGTTTAACTTAGTTGTAAAACAGTCAATTTCAGATAAAGATTACTGGAATAATAACATCCAGTGTTGCCGAAAACAGTTAGTGCTTTCCTGATTCTCACAAAATCTTTTTGTAGCTACAGAACTAGAATTCAGGTCTGTTCAGTCGTTTCAGTGAGCAAGCCATTGGTTTTCTATGCTTTAAATTCTATGGTTTTCTATGCTTAAATTGAAGTTGGCTACTTCATTTTTCATTTGTTACTATAATTAAAGTCCTCAAATTACATATCAGTATGGCACAGTTCACTGATTCCGAGAATAGCTCCCATATTGAAAGACATCAATTTTAATAGTAAGTGCAATAAGAGACAGTCTGGGCCTCCATACAAGCACTGTGCAATAAACTAAAATGAAGTGCAATCTAAAAACGTCACCTTTGGATTCCTCAGAAAAAAAATCTAATTTACCAAAGGAAAAAAAAATTTACCATAACATTCAAGAGTTTTCAGCAAAAAACCTCAGTTTTGGTCTTCATTCAGATTATTACCTAGACAGGCATGGCGCAATCTACCGTCATGTCAGATGCCCTTGTTTCAGAGACAAATAAAGTGTTTGTTTTATTGAACCAAATGTTGGAACGTCTTGGAGTTGAAAACTTGTGCCCTACTGTATGTCGCTTATTTTAAATGGATTTCAAGACCCTAAGGCCAAATAATAGTTATGTTACCAGACAGTTTGAATTTTTTTTTTTATATTGATTCAGTTAAATATTTATTCCATATTGAAATGAATTTATCTGTCTAAACAATATAAAGAGCTAAAAATGTTTTGGAAATTTGCTCCTTCATCCAATATAGATAGTCTTCTTGATAAGGAGGATATTACCTTGAGAGAAGTTCTAAATGAAGAAGAAGTTTTGCAAGAATGCAAAGGACAAAACACAAAACTTATAGATTTGTGAGTTATTCGATATTGTATTATTAAGTTGCGTGTTTCAACCAAACAATTGTTTTTGACCCGTGAATGTTATTATTAACTTAGCATATTTTTTAGTCATCACTAAAAGAAACATTTTCGAAGATGATTGGACTAATCACAAGTTCATAAAGCTAAATAAGATTTTCTTATGTTTTACATATGACTTGTTGGAAGTTGGAACATTTTTTGTTAGTTATTTTGTGTGCCATTCTGCTTTATTATATTTACGTTTTTTTGTGACTCGCTTAAAACTCACTCACGTTTACTAATCCTATTTTAGTCTATGCAAAAAAGAGAATATCGAAGACCTTGTTGATATGGTCACATTAGAACCGCCTGAAGATGAGAATGAAGCAGTTCGGTATAAATTCCCAAGTCTTGCTTGTGAACTTCTAATTTCAGACGTTACTCAAATAAATGATGCATTGGGAGAATCTGAAGTACGTATTCATGACATTTTTCTTTTTGAGCTACCTTTGATAATATCTGGTTTATATGATGTAGTAGTCACTGGTCATTTGTCATCAAAATTAATTAATATGGATGCAAATATTGCTCTGCTTGATTTAGAAATGGTTTACTTGCATGCCATTATATTCCATTGGCATTGTATTGTATAATTTTTCTCCTTTAGCTGAAACAAGCTTAGATGTCTTCAAGTTTACCTAGTTATAGCAAAAGATTTGTCCTTCTGATAAAATCGGTATGGGCAATTCTATGTCAAATTGATGTAATAACTGACCCAAAAGCCGTCAAAATGTGAATTGTTAAGCTCAATACTATCTAATTTTTCAACAGGTTGTTCGGAAAAAACTCTTTAGTTTTTTAGACAGAGAACCTCCAGTTAATTCTTTACTTGCAAGTTTTTTTTCTAAAGTTGTTGGAATACTTTTGTCAAGGAAACCTGAACCGGTAAGTATTCAACAATTTCATATGAAAAAGTGTTGTCAATGGCTTTTTGTTAATCCAAATTTGTCTCTAGACGTTAGAATACATCAAATCACAGGATGATTTCCTTGCCTCGGTTTTGAAACATCTGGGAACATCTGCAATTATGGATCTTTTACTACGCATGGTGACCTGTGTTGAGGCTGCGGATTTAAGAGCACAAGTTTTATCAGTAAGTGGAATCCTTATGAAAATAAGAACCCCCTATCTGCTTAAGGTTAACAGTATTAACGATATTCTTCTTTTTCAGTGGTTAAATGAGAATCAACTCGTTCAACGACTGATCGGACTCATTGATCCAGAGTATGATGAGGAACTCCACTGCAACAGTGCACAGTCACTATGTGACATAATAAGGTTAAGTCGAGAGCACATGTATACAATGCAGGAATCAGCACAGGATGATCCATTGCTCAATACATTAGAAAGGTTGGTTCAAGTTCACTAGGACAGGATTTCCCAAACTGGTGTCCGCGGACTGCACCGGGGGTCCGCAACAATATGAAATAAGTCTGAAACATATACAAATAGATTATAATCTTATCGAATTGCCATCAGCCTATCACTATTTAACATTAGTATGTATCGAATCAGACTTTCATGAGTTTTTTTTCGTCAAATGAAACATTATCCTTCCTCGTTCGTAAGGTACAGAAGTTGATATGACATAGGATGGGGGGCCATCAAACATAAGATTCACAAAAAGGGATCCGCGGCCAAAAAAGTTTGGGAAACCCTGGGTGTACTTACAGTAAAAAATTGATAATGAGATTGAGCAACGAATATACCCAAATCTATTTAAATTCTAGAATAACTGCATGCCTTTGTAATGTTAACACAAATCATGACTTTAATTAAATGCTGGTGATTTTTACAAAAAACTATTGTTTCTGGGTATATGAATTCCCTATTTTATTTAATTGCGAGTAAATGGTTGGAATAGGTGAAAGAACAGAGAAAATGACTTCATTTAATATGGTTAAACTTGCTATTAAACATTTTTCTTTGAAGTTTTGTCTGTGTGGTTATCTTCAATCAAAATTTCTCACCGTACCAAATCAATATCACATAAAAGATCTTTATACTTCCTGAAACGGCTGCCTTTGGTTCGAATGACTTCCAATGTTGCAATACCATTCTAAATTTTTGAGATTTTTGGGTGGTTAACCTGACGAGTCACAAATAATGAAATAGAATAGTGAAGTTGTGGGTGTGTCACTCGTCACTGTGTAAATATACTTTGAAACTAGCCTTCAGGTCACCAATTCAGTTCCTCATGTTGTATAATTTATTTAGACAAAGCCTGTTATTGTCAAAATAGACTTTGCAATTATGTCATATTAAATATTCCATTGCTACATTTCGGTTAATCATTATCAAAATATCGAAATATCATTTTATGATTTCTTTTGAATGTATTATTAAGATTTATTGCGGACAAATACAACAGGATAAGTCCAAATTTCATTGCTTCCCAAACATTTTCCAAAGAGAATAATATAAAACAAACACTAGATAATGGAATCTTTTGGAAGCTTGACAAAAGCATATTTTTGGAAACACCTTTCATAGAGAATTTTTTCTCTAGATTGCAACATATATGAGAATTATTTGCCGCTTGTCGCTGCCTGGTATAACATTGTATCATGTTATGATATATTAGATGTGTTATACTTTACAACAATATTGATTCTTTGATCTTGTATGTCTTTTAGTTTGCATATGCTCTCATAACAAACTATTGACCTGTTTATGTGCAATATTGATACAGTTGTTGCCAAGGTACAGCCCATCAATTGCCAATGAGTAAAAGAGCGTTTTTTAGTTTTAATTATTGATAATTAATGGTCCTGCAAATTTGATAATATATGTCATGTGTAATTGCCATTATTGTCATATGTATGGTCAAATTAATTTGTCTTCGATATGACCAGTGAAATGAAAATATATTTTTGACATTATAGATTCCAGAGAGTTGTTCGTGTTAAATTATTATTTGTACTTTAAGATAACTTATAAAATAGGAGATAGGCCTAAAATTTTTATTAATTTAGAGAATCAGAATTGCTATATTTATTAATCAGTCAAATGTATCCCCTTGACAGCAAATTTAGGATTTATGTTAGATATTTATGGGGCCTTGAGATAAATACAATGAATTTGTTTCAAAATTTTCGTTTCAACTTGTCATATGTTATCACCCCTTTTGTGACAATTTATCTGTTTCGTATATATCCATGTAATTATGAAAACCTGGAAGTGTTTGATCACGCTATCGCCTCGATTTGAGGTCGAATAACCAAAAGTAATTTCTTATACAATAAGGCTACAAGTACAAGCCATTCAACAAATTTTATAATATCTTTTTAGAGAGGAAACTGTATCATTACTTTTGCATCATATGTTTGATGGAGAATTAGTTGAATCAGTTATTGTCAATGGTATCAGCATTTTACTTGCATTGCTCGAAATCAGGAGGCCTGCTCCATTCGGGTAAGTTATTTTGTTTTGGCTCTGGTGTATCATTATCTTGAGAATATACATATTTTGTGATAAATGATGTCAATAATCAGAATTTGTAGCTACGTGCGATCAGATTTTATAACTTTGTTATTTTTCACTAGATTTCCAGAGGCAGCTCCTGAGTTGACGCAACTAGATGTTGAAAGACTAGCAAGAGGGGTATCAAGAACTCTTCATGGTGTCAGTGGACGACTAACAGATTTTCGCAATTTACTTATCAATCCACCAAAGGTTTGTATGATTTTATTTGCAATCTAGTTGCTCGACTTAACAAAATTTATTAATCAGGAAATCTTTTATAATTTTGGTATTTACTACTTCATAATATTTAAATTGAATTATTATTTTTGTTGCATCTGTATCAGTTAGAATAAAAAAAAAATTTATCCATGAATAGTGCATAATTATTTAATAACTTCAGCAACGTTATTATCAAAAAAACATATATGGGCTATTCCAAGTGACACTACAGGACAATTCCAGAAATTTTGCATGTTGTTGGATGCAATATATATTTACATTTTCAGCTACATGTTTTGTTTCATTGTCCAATCAGTTGCCTTATTGTATATGTAAAAAATGATTGTTCGATGAAGTGAATGCAGTCCAATAAAATTCCAATGTCTTTTGATATCAAAAATAAAAAAAAATTACTTTCACTACACTTTTTAAAAAATTGATGGAATTCAACTTTTGCTTGGAATGGCCCATATGCTGTTTGTAGTGTGACTAACGAAACAAAAAATATATTGGCTTGAAATGTACTACACCAAGTCTCTTTGATAGTATATGGTAGTTAAAAGTAACTAATCGTTGTACCAAAGATGGGGTGTGTATGACCAAATATTTAAAATCTTTATTTGCAACTGAATTTGGTTTCAATTATTCAGTCAATATATATTGCAGCTAGGCCGTGATACATGAACATAAAAATGGAAAAATTTATATTTCAAATTGTCCCAAATTTCCAACTTGGAGAAATTATTTTTCCTTCATTCCAAACAATGTTATACTTTCTTGTACATTCGGTATTCGAGTCTGTGTAGAAGTGTAGGCAATATAAGGACTGATTTACCAGCTCTTCTGGCAACAAGGAAGCGAAACATATTGTTCGATTCGCTGTTTTTTCCAGCGGCTGAATTGTATCTCCTACAGGAAGTATAATCCTTCTGATATGGTTTCATATTTTGCTGTTGTGTACAATAATTTATGTAAATTATATAGTTCACATGAAGCAATTATTTATCAACAAATACCAAGCATTCTATATTTGCATGAAAATAGTTTAAAAAATCATACATACACGAGTCAACAGATCATAGCCTAAATTAAAAGCATGGAATATTTGATAATAAACACCACTCGATAAAACTTGTTGCGCTACAATGTCACATATTTGTGATCATTTTAAAAATAAAAAAACTTCTTCAGAGATGTTTGGTACGTTCTAAATACAACTCTTGGTTCAAATTTGATATTGAATGAATTAGCTTAGTGATTGATTTATAATAATGTTGCATTCAGTTGCTCCGAAATACTTAACTGTCAATAATATTAAAACATATTTAAAAGGTTGAAAAAGCAATATGCTCCATACAGCAGGCATGATTAAATTATTTTAACATATGTATTTCCTTGCGCATTAACATTAAGACTTGAATTTTTACAACCACAGTCCGGTGAAATACAGAAATTTAAAATGTCTTCGTGATAAGCTTTAAAATGTTATTGTTCTCTCATTGCTGGACATCAACCTCTGGAGCGACTATGTTTCATAGATTCTCAGCTGACGGAAATTTTTTCACAAAAGCGACCAGAATTTTTTTTTACTGTTTTGATTGACTTCTTTGTAAATAAACTCCCATTTGTGTCATTTTCTATGAAATAAATTGAATTTTTTCTCCTCAATTGTAAAACTCCATTTCTTAATCCTTTAATACATGATTGTGTGTATTTTATGTGGGATATTACAGTCGTATTCAAGTAATCCTTTATAATCCATATTTTAAAACCTAACTAAATGTTCAATTCTTTATTCCTCAACTTTCTTGCTCCATTCTATCAAATTTCCTAGTCATCTGTATTTGCAATCAGAACTTCTGCATATCCCAGCTTGCGTCTCGCTCTTAGTGTTTCATTGTTATTCAATCGGACTTTGAAGAGGTTTTTGCTTACCGGTTTTTGTTTTCACATGGCAATCTGTTAGAAGTCAATTTTTCCAGATGACTCCACAATACAACCAAGTAAAATTTTCAATTAGCATCCTAAATCAGGATTTGTAATAAAAAATTATGAAAAATCTAGACTAGGATTATAATTGAATGGGGTATTCAGTTTTTAGGTATTGGGTGCTGTTATAGTATCAGTGTTACAAGTTCCTAAAAATTACTTGGAATTTTCATTTTGCTGACCTTTATTATAAATATTTCCCTCCAATTTACCATCAATATGTCTTGTCGATAATGCTCTTTAGCGGGTTTATTTTGGTTTCTTGTCTCCCTTGGGAAACCCTTTCATTGCTCTATTATCTCGGTGGCTTTTTGCCAAGTTTCAAATTGGTACAGATTCTATTCCTTCTTTACTTGGAAACGATTTAACATAAACAATAAGGTTAATTGATGTTAATAGGCGGTTGCAGTTGATTCAGATTCATAAAATATAAAATTGAATTGTAGATTAATAGGCTTAATAGCAGTGCCTGTTTTGCTTAGGATAGGTGTAGATATAGGCTATGATTTTTTCGATAGATTTTGAAGCTCTCTTTTTTTTAACTTTGAACTATTCAGGTTCAGGTCATCACACACTTTTGTCTGAATAATTAGTGATTGTAGAATTTTGTTATTATTTTTTTATTCTGAATATTATTAGTGGATCTACAGAGCAGTAAAACTATATTATTTGTGTTCTGAAAGTTTGAACCTTCTTGAATATATCCTTTTATATATTTTTAAGTAAATCAGGGTACGTCAATGCGTTTGATGTTCTTCAACACCCAAACTATCTTTTTGAGATCTTCTGTCAATGTTTCTTTTTTTCGATTTTAGAAAGAAATTATGAAATGTACGTTCGGCGATCTCGATCCACCTCTTGGAAACACTCGTCTTCATGTCGGAAAACTTTTATCAGCAATATTAATGACGAATACTCATAACATCAATAGTCAACTTGCCGATCTTCGAATTTTTGATTCTCTACTGGTAAGTTCAGTTATATATAGAAAGATGTTCTTCTTGACTAGCTAATTCGGGGGAAAATTATTGACGGTATTTTTATTTTGTTTAGGACCTCTTTTTTAAATATGAATACAACAATTTTCTTCACACTCAAGTTTCCGGTTGCATACAGACTGTGCTAAGTAATGCAGCTAACGTTCCAACACATTCATCACCAGTCAAAACAGAGACAAATTCCAGTAAGATTTTTTTTTATACAATTCTTAGATTTTTTCATAGTTTGTTACCCTATTTTAGCTCAATGGAGTGTTAGTGAAGTTTGAAAAAATAGTACAATTTCGGTTTTTCATCCATGCCCGCTTTTATCATTCAGTTGTGGTATGAAATGATAGTTGATAGTTCGTTGAATATTTGTAAGAAATCTCAAATTTTAAATTAATTGTCAACGATAACAAATGTTCGAGATATATTCTTTTATATTTGTCAAATAATTCCATTTTGGAAGCAATTTTTTGATTATTCCAAGTTAATTGTAAATGAGTTTCAAATTTCTGTATCATATGTTAAGTTGTTCTCGTTTTTTAAAAATATTTTTATTTCTTCTAGATCAAGATGATTCGGATTCTCAAAAAAACGAAGAAGAGGAAGAATCAGAAACAGAAAATCCTAGAGTTGTCGCTCCTCTTCTTGCTCACGTAATGAACTTTACATATAGTCTGATTTTGCATATCAATATTTATAAGAAGATTTTTTTAATGGCATCACTATAAAATTCAAACACGATTTATCTATTCAAATCAAGGTTTTGAGTTTAAAACATGTAAGGATTCTAGTGTGCAAATTCAGGTGTCATCTATGGTTACTACTGTATAATATATGATTGTGTTTGTTTTGGAGTATGGAACATTTTGAAACACGATCATTATCATTTGAACAAGAAATTAGTTTTCTATTTTACCAAAAGCCTAAAAGTGCCTAGTTGGAGATTAGAGTTTCTGGTTCTTGTATTGGTTTTTTATTTTTTTAAAGTCTATTATTCACAGTGACCTGAGTGTACATATACTTTTGGGTTGCTCCCTTATCTTAATTAACATTTCCTATGGCCACATCTATTCACTATCATCAAAGAAGAATGTACTGAATTTAATTTGATCTGTATTATGTTGGAATCAATCATTGTCCTGTTATTTATCATATCTATATTCTGCTACAGATTTTCGAAGAATGTCGAATCATTCAACGAATCATGGATGCATGGGAAGACAATCATAGACATGAAAACGATGACGGTGGACATAGGAAAGGAAATATGGGTCATCTTACAAATATAACTAATTGTATTGTTGAAGGATTAGAAAAAGGAGTAAATTGCGAAAGATTGAAAAGATTTTTAGGCGGTGAGTAAGAGTTTGAGTAATATAAACTTTCTATTCCAGTGAGAAATGGATGGTGTCTGTTAATAAGCATTTCAGGTTTGATTTAACAGCAATCATTACAGGAGAGTACTTAGATAAATAGTCAATTATTTCGCTTTGTCTTGTAAATTTAGTACGCAGGCACTTGTTACGAAAAATCTAATACTTGAAATACTAAAATATAATACATGAAATGAATTAAATCAGACAACTAGACCCAGAAGAGGGGAATAATGTCCAATTAAATCTAACCATATAGCAGCTTTCAAGATTCTTCATAATGAAGAATTTGTGACTAGGGCTGGGCATTTTTGATTACCTGATGATTTCAGAATCTAATCGAATCTTAAATACTTAAAAGGATATGTAATTGTAAGCAACTTTTTATGGAGCTCCAGAAGTATGTGCACCAAGATGGCCCACATCCTGAACATAGTATGTGTACCAGGTTAGGGTTCAGGTTGTGCACCATCTTGGTGCACATACTTCTGGAGCGCCCTTTTTATTGTAATGGGTCTTCTCATAACATGAATTACAGAAAACATAGAATCCACCACTCATGCATCTTGCTTGGTGTTCACACACAATAAAAAACATGTTTCATCAATAAATTACAATAAATGCATATTAAAAATAGGGCTTCAATAAAGAAATTGGGAATTTCCACCTCTGCCTATGGCGGATAGAATAAAAAACAAGATGGCGGCGATGATTCCAATTTTCGTCTGAACCGATTCGATTAATTCACTGTTTAATTCGAAATGACCTGATTGTAACATACAGAGTATATGCTTAATGACCTAAGAAGCAATGCTGAATATTCCAAATTTTTTATTCTGTGAGATATAAAAATTGGGTGGGATGCTTGTAGGATTTGTTTTTACAATGATTTTTTCAATGTTTAGAAATGCCAGAAGAGGACCAAGGCAGGTGGCAAAAATTTGTTGCCGAAGCTTTATCAGAAATGAATGAAAAGAATTCAAGGGAATTAGGAGGACATAACCCGATGCATTTCTCTTCTGATGAAGATAACGATGAATTTAGGGATGTTCCTTTCAATACAGATAGTTCATTGCAACAGGTAAATTATTGGAAATATGGAAATTCATCAAGTCATGGTTCTGAACTTTTTGACTTGATAATTCTTGCAATATTGAAAACAGCACGATAATTGTATGACATTACACTCGATCCCTATTTTTCAAAATTATCTGTCTGATTCTTCAAGTTGATAAATGTTCTCAACCTGATGATCACATTTATTATAAATTCAATTCAAAATTTCTGTTCTATATATCTCTGTGAACTACAGCTTTGAAGCTATTCCAAATATTGATTATTCTTGAGCCTTGGAGACCCGTTATGAATTATGACCTTTATTTTTCTCTACTTATGTATGGATAATTAGTGAAAACAAATTAGGGGATTTCTAGTTAATTTATAAGCAAGCTCTATACTTAATAATGGTGATTCTCAATTTCATACGGGTCCATCTTTACAAAATCATGGCATTTGATTACTTGATTATTGGTAACTAAATCAAATTTCTAGTTTCAAAAAAACTTATTTCAGTTCCATTTCCTCTTTTTGGGCCAATTCAAATAATATATATTCTCTTCGAAGAATCACAAACAACTTTTATGTTTGTTATTAATTCCTTGTAACTGTAGAATATTGTGCACGGGGCAGCATGCAAAGTTTCCTTCCACAAAAATCTGTCCTTCAAATAATTCAAATGAAAAATAAAAAACATTTTGCAAAGCCCGTTTTGTGGGCTTATGCAGGAGGAGATCATTTTGTGGGGGGAAACACCGAAAGCATGTCTCGCCCCACGAATATTTTTCTCCTATTCGCTCTATTTCTGAATAAAACCCCCTAAAAAGTTCATAAGAAACTCAGGGAAACTTTGCATTGTGTTCCGTGTCAGGCCTACACTGATTACCAACTTCAACAAATGACTTCCAATTTTATTGACCAGTTTGGATTCACTGACGAGGACTTCGCAGAACCTGATGACAACATCAAGTTAGTAAAATTATCTCTAAAATTTTTTATACGGTTAAATAACAACATTCAAGTTGAATAATAATTACAATACCATATAGAACTATATTTATTTTTATGAATATAAGAGAATAATAATAACTCAATTAAATATATTTATTTCAAAGCTTGGCATTGAATGCTATTCATAATTGGATAATATGTGCATAACTTGTTACCGTGCTTCAGAATTAATTAAATGTCCATTTTTCCTCGTATATTTAGGAATTGTTTTTATACTAAAATGTTTTGATGGAAAACGTTAACTTAAATCAAAAATTCTTGGAAATATAATTTCCTGTGATGTGACGTATTTAAACAAAATTGTTCAAATATAAAAAAAATATTCTAAATCAATATATTTTTTATCATTAAAACTAAGATGGTTCAAATATCATGTTAATTTAGTTTCATCAAAGTGCTGGTGTTCAATATTAATCTCATTGTAAAATCCAGTTGTATATAAATATTTCACTCTGTAATGCTATTTAGCTGACTTTAATTCTTGTTTTATGATATACTTTCTTTTTTCAGGTTTGATAAAATCGAAAGCATTGATTTCGATATAAAAGGAGATACAAACATGGTAAGATGTTTTTTAGTTATATCTGACTGCGCAATTTTAAATGCATAATCAAGTTAAAACTCAAATGGGTATTATTGATTACTCGTTTTTATTTTACGATGTATTTATACCCGTTTTTCGCTCTGCTCTAAATAAGGCTTTGTACACCCATTGCTAGGTAAGAACATACTATAATTTGGAGGATCGGAATTTTTTGTTTCAACGTCACCTACCCAATTTATAACATCTTGGGTGATGTGGTGAGCATGGGATTCGAACCGGAGATTTCAACCCACAATGTGATAAAAGTCAAGTGCAATGCTTAACCAGTTATGCCATCACGTTTGCTTTATTTTAATTTTTTTTACTTTTTTTTAATGCAGCCATCAGCACAATTGTTTGAAGCTGTTTGTAAAGCCAGAGTTGCTCATCTTGACGATAATTTTGATGATGAAGATGAAGAACATTCTAATAAAAGTACGATAACTTTTTATATTATCGTTTTATACTGTAAATTACACTACAATGTAGGGGTAGTTTTTCATTGTGATTTGACTGATTAAGAAATTCTAACTTCTTCAATATTAATTTGATGGACACATAGCTCAGCACGAGTTGTTTGATATCAGGTTAAATAAATCTCGTAAATTATATCAAACTAGTCCAAAATCGAGAACTCCACTGATCTGGTGTCTCATAACTATTTATATTGTGGACAAGGTAATTTCTACTTTGCTCTCCTAATCGAAAAATGTATACTCAGTATGATGATTTTCCTCTTCATTGGTCCGTGTTTTTGATCAAATTGTGATAACATTGAAGATCTGACGAGTATTAACGTGATATATATTTTTTGAAAGTGTTTATAAATTTTGATATAGCCTTGTTAACATCCTGATGTTTGGTTTTTTTTTGTTACTTAAAATTCATTTTCACATTCTGATCCCTGGTTCATTTAGCTGTATAGAATAGTTTGATTTTAAACTTCACTAATTTCACTCATTCACCTACATATTGTAGTAATTTAAATATTGAAACTTAGCGATTACAATTTTTTTTTTTCAATTAACAATGTATGATTTGCTCTTTTAAACACATTACACTCACAATTTGTTTAGGTGATGATGATATTTGGGATGAAAGACCAATTTCATTTGCAGACGATGTTCGAGGAAGTCCAACGTCGAAAACGATATCAACTACACCCACTGTGACTGTAAGGTAGGTACACTTGATTTGCTGGGTATTTGTTTAGGTCACCCAAAGTTTTTTTAGTATTTTTCTCAAGTTGTGATATTTTCATCTAAGAATGTGCATAGTAATATTAATCTAATGGCCGAAATTTGGGAGTACAGTACCAGAATTTGAAGAACTTCATTTTTTTCCTGTTTTTCTCCTGTTAAACAGAATATCAAAATTACACTTGAGGTATTCCAAATGAAGTAGCTACAAATATTTCAGAATTTATTTTTCCTGATAAATTTCACAATTGTTGTAATATCTCAAGCAGTGCTGATGTAGTTTACAATTTTTGAAATGTTAATATAATACTCTGTGTTATTTGTAATTAGCCAACCCCATTTGTTTAAGGAGATATTCCTACTCTGATTTTCTCGGATTCTAGTGTGTGTCATCTGTTGTTTGTGTACAATATTATTTAATAAATGATATGTTGCTACTATATTAGTTCTATATAGGAAATAAGTTTATTGACCATTTGAAGTACGAAAACAGCCAGTATTTATCTCGTTGATTATATCAAACTGGTCTAAAACTGTGAACTTTGTTGATCTGTTATTCTGATCTGAAGAGCTTTTTATTTTTTCACTTTTTTTTAGTTGTATAGGCCTACTCAGTGTGATGATTTTTCTCTTCATTGGTCCGTGTTTTTGATCAAAAAGTGATAACATTGAAGATCTGACGAGTATTAGCATGTTTATTTTTCTTGTTTTTGCTCTTTGGGAATTTTCCTTCTCATGGGCGCAGAATCAAAAATATGTTGAGTTGTGTATTCTGCTTTCAAAAGAATACAAATTTGTCCTATCGATTATTATTCATTTTATTTTCCAGGCACCGGTCAGATTCTGGCAGTAGTACTGGAAGTAGTGACAGTAGTAATGAAAGTCCGGTTGGTAGTCCGTTACCTAACGCAATTAAGATTCCGGATGCAGAAGAGCGTATGGACACCTCACAATGTGAGTTGGTTGCCATATTGTTTTACATTGAAATACTTAATTAATGATCTGACTGGTGTAATATTTGTAGCTTCTTCTTCCACATTTATTCTTGAATAATAAATTCTAACTTATTTTAGCTCCTGGATGGAAGGCTGATTTTGATTTTGGGAGTGGTAGTAGCAACGAAAAAAATTTGGAAGGTAGTCCCCGCGTTGAATCTTCTGTTCCTGATAAAAAAGTTTCTGATGGTGATCATATGATGGACGTTGGACAGGATTCCAAAGTGGTAAGAGACTTTGATTTTGCCAATTTGAATCTATAAGGTACTGATTGCACTGCTCGATATGATGATATTCATCTTCATGGTCCGTGTTTTTGAACATTTGTGATAATAATGAAGTCCTGATCTGCCGTGCCGTCTCTTTTTCTGTATGAAATCAATCAAATAAATATACGGTAAAAATTATCTCCCTTTGTGTTATTAACACCTTTTGTTAAATTTAGGATGAAATTGTTATATCGTCGAGTGCCAATACAGCAAATGAAAACTGGGCCGATTTTGAAAAATTCAATAGGTGCGTATTTTATATGCGTATAATATTAGTATAATTTTATATAATGCTATTACATGGTATAATATTAGTATAATTTTATATAATGCTATTACATGTGAGACCTATAGAGCTGTATTTGAATCATAACTCCTATATGAATCTGATTCTTTCAATGTGTCCAAAGGAATATAACTAAGAATTCCGATTGCAGTTTTGAGGCACTTTCCTTCAGAAACTTGTGTACTGGTCGGCAAACTTTATGTACTACTGGGCCAATATAATAGCGTGCGGGCTACATCAAATGTCGCTTATAAAGTATAAACAATCGCTAAGTAAACTTCAAATTATGACACACCCGCGATCTCTATTTCTGTGATAAAATAATTACAGCTGAAGTTAGGCACGTTCGGCTGATTACTACAAAACAAACGCCATACAATGGCAATGGATACAACAACAAGTTTTATGCATTGAGGGAAAGTTATTCGGGGGCCACAAAAATTTGTTTGTGGGCCGCTTTTGACCTGTGAGCCATGATTTGCCAACCACTTCTCTTGGGGTATATTGAGTTAAGGGCACCGCCGTCCTTTCGCAGTCTCAACTTTCAGAATGTTGTCGTCCGATTAAGGAGGGAAGCTAACTCAGTGTGATGATTTTCATCTTCATTGGTCCGTGTTTTTGATCAAGTAGTGATAACATTGAAGATCTGACGAGTATTAGCATGATCTCAAATACTTTTAATGTAACAATATTCGGCTTCAATTTGAATGTTTCCTTGCTAATAACCTTATTTATCGTTACTTGCAGAATCATCTGAACATTCTGATATTGCTAGTATATTTTTACCATTTATTACAACTTTTTGAAAATTTTTTCTATTTTGTAATCATTTCTCATACGATGATATGTTTTTCAGCAACACTGTAGATGTAGTGTCCAGCAGTGAATCTTCTGAACAACCGGTATCTTCGCAAGAACAAACTTCTGCCTCATCATATTGTAAGTATCTTTTTACAACACTCACCCAACCCTTTTCTCTCTGTACGAGGCCCTATACAAGCAGCTACTGCTATCTAGCAATATATGATGAGCTACTTTTATTTGGAAGGACTGGAATTTTTCTTTGGTATTGCCTTTCCAATTTATTACACCCTGACCTTGGTAAGGCAGGAATGGAACCAGAGATGTAGAGATGTCAATGTTCTTATCACGATTTCGCCTAATTATTAATTTTTATAATTGTTCCACGTCTTCTCTCCGAACATGGCATTGAAGATTCAATATTACCTGTTCATCACATATCACATAAAACCACCAAGTTCCATTGTATAACTTTGTTCATATGGATGATTTTATGGATCTTAACCCATCATTCTATACAATAATGAAATGCAACACTATTTAATTATGGGTTTTGTTATTTAGCTGCAGCAGATTCAACCAGTAAAGATACTAATTTAGAAGATTTGGATGCTGGATCTCCAATGGCTGTCACATATCAACATTCACCAGGGTATGTAGTTAATTTTCGTTAGAGACGAGTATTCAAGAGTGTTCATAATCTTTCTTGTTTCACATTGTCTACCCGATTTATTACCGGTACTCCCTGGGTGAGGTGAGCTTTACCACACATCGCACCCACAAATTACATTTAAATGATGTACTTTGGCATAAATTTTTGCTTTTTACTTGAAGTTTGGTTATACTTACTAAATAAATTGATTTTTTGATTTTGAAGAAATACTGCTTGATATGATGATATTTATCTTCATGGTCCGTGTTTTTGATCATTTGTGATAATAATGAAGTCCTGATCAGCAGTGTTGATATATTGAAAATCAACAGACTATATATTATCGATAGATTGATATACCATCAAAGCCAGAGTTTTGGCTTATATAAAAGTGGTGCATAACTGAATTGCAGCATGTTTACTGTAATTGAATAAGGTAGTGTCTGAGTAGTCTATCTGCGGATCTATAACTAACCTCGCATAGGTTTTTTAAATTTTGTAGTGTAATTTCACTATTGTAAACAATATATATTTAGGGAAGCGACTGAGAGTGCATCAGTTGCCGATGCAGATAGTGTTCAGACTTCGGCTGAGACTGAAGCAGTTTCATCTTCCAATGAACAACAACAACAAACTTACCAAAGACAATCGGACCAAGACATCGTCATGGATGATGTTTCATCCACACCCGATTATCAAACAACGCAAACCATCGCTCAGTCTTCAACTTTACCAAAATCAGAAGAAAGTTCTGGAGGTGACGACAATGTCCCTTCCTCTTCACACTCCGATGCACCGGCACAGTCAGAAGACCAAAGGACAAGTGAGGTTGCTATGGATACAGAACCATCGTCAACAGATGAAAGCGAAGTTAAAAGACAGAGAATCGAAATGCAAGAAAATCAAAGGACACAGGAAGCTGATACTTCTAGGTATGATGTCTTGTTTATTACTTATCAGTTGATTCGACATACGATTTAATAGATATATAGTTTAAAGATATTAAGTTATCATAGCAAGCAGTTGGGACTGGCTTTCAATTTTTTTTTTATCTTCAATATATATCTTTATCTTCTGTGATGATTATCATCTCTAATGCTTTGGTCTGGTTTTAGTTGGAAACCATTGATAAAAATAGGTTCTGTACAGTTGTATACACAAAGTGGCTTTTATTCCCACATGACGTTTGTCTTTTTAGACATTCGAAACATAGGCTAAACTATATCATTGAATTTTTAGCATTTGTGTGTGATTGCTATAAATTATATAATGTTGTAATATATTGCATAGATAAAGTCACAAAAATTTGATGTCACTTTTCTGTGGTATGATAACTTAGCAGAATGTTAGAAATATCTGTACCATCAAGCGATGTTGTATTGGCATGTAGACAGGAGAACTGGTAGTTGTGCTGGATTATGGATGTATTATGTATTATTCTCTTCTAAATATTGGATATTTTAGAATTCTACCTTGCAATTCATCTACCTTTAAACAATGTATTGTAAAAAAACTTATCACGTGGCTCACATCTTAAAAATGAACATGTCTCCCAGCTCATTCGTCTACTTTTCTTTTGGAAATATGTCAAATAACTGGAAAATAACTGTCAAACTATGAAAACGAGGCAACATTTACAAAAATGCTTTAGAATTTGTCTAAGTTTGCTCAGACCTTTTGATGGCTTATTGCTGATTAGCCAATGTTTAGGAAGTAACCAATGCACTGAGAAACATATCGCTTGGATTGTTTAAGTAGCGTCATTGTTGAAAGCATCTACTACATTTTACTAAGTTTTTACCGGTCTTCCATTTTCTACAGTTCTGGTGTTGATGACCAAACGACGGAGAAAAGTACAATTACTGTGACTTCAAGTGATGGAGGTGAAAATGTATCTGATGTTGCTGACAGAGAGCAAGGCTCAGTAAGTGCTGCTGACACTGAAATATCTTCCAGCGATAACAATACTACGGAATCGACTGATCCCACTCCAGCGACCGAAAGTCTGGTGCAACAGAGTGCTGTAAGTGACACTAGTGATGCGGCTGACGCTGCAAGTTCCGGTGACGATGATAGGTTAATTACAGAAACAAATCCTGTCCCAGACACGTCCACTGATCCAAATGCTTCTGCTACACATTTTGGTGTCGTATCGCAGTCTGACAGCTCTGAATCTACAGGAAGTCCCCTGAAACAAGGGTTGTCCGACTACGTGCAGCACAATGAGGTTTCTTCCTCATCTGTCGTGGATGCAAAACTTAGCAACGCTGTCTCCTCTGAGGATACCAGAGAATCATCAGCAGTGAATCCACCATCCGAAATCAAAATGAATGGTCCTGCATGATTGTCGGGCTCAATCCAAAGATATGGTTCCTACTCAGTCTTCCATCAAACGTGGAGGACAAACTGCGCGAGTTCAGTCTCTCGTTGGTCCAAGATATTGGAACCGAAACAATACGGAGTGCTGTTCAATCAAAGTTTTGAATACATGTTAAAACACTTACATTTATTGTGACATATAAATAAGTTCTATTTTTCTGTTTCAAATCCGTATTTACAATATTTTTGGAACAATGCAGATATTGATTTAAGATAGAAATGTATGTATGGGTTGTTCGATCGTCTTGTTGTGTAATTTTGAAGCCTTTTATCAGACCATGTTCAATCTAGTATGTGCCATGTTAAGTAATTTGGTAATGTATAGATAGTTGCTGTCAACCTTCTCAGTGGCAACAGTGACTGTTGCTATTGGCGACGAATGTTAATTTATTAGTTGTTTTCACAAATTGTCTGCCTCAATCCACCTGTCTGTTATGACAATTTTTTGCGAGATTTTCTTTCCTCATTAGTAGAATCTTTTATTATTGAAGAGCGAATTTGCTTGGTGTAGTGTTTGATTGTCCATTTATTTCTCACCATGTGACCACTTCAAATTAAAATAGTTAAAAACTCGTGACTAATTCAATCAGAGGAATATTTATGAGTGGAGACCAATATGCAGTTCATTCTATATCTGACTCAAATTTTGAAGTCAATTCACATTTTCTTTACATTAAATTATGGTTTGATTAGATTTTATTTGTTTATTTACATAGTGTTAATGCATTTGTTCTTGATAAACTTCCTCGAAATTTGGTGCATTGATATAACATTGGCCAATTTGGCAATATAGTGTCAAAATAATGATAAATTGTGAATGTTTTAGTAAAGTTTGACACATCATGGTTTCAGTGTTGGATTTGGGGTAGTTTTTCTTCCAAGGAATTTTTGCAACACTTTCGGTAATAATGGGTAAGTCATGTGTTCAATCGTGTTTCTTGAAATATCGAACACAGCAGATATCTAGAGCATGTATTTTCTTTTATTTATCTGTTGAGTGGAATTCTGTCGTCAGCCAGTCCTTCTTTTATACTTGATATTATTTTTGTTCTCATCGAGTTATAATTTATTAAACATTGTTAATTTTCTTCCCAACGTGCACACTTTTATTTTTGTTGCTAGTTGTAGCCAATAACAAACAGCGAATGGTGTTGTTTTTCCCTTTTCTCATCCCACTTATAGCAAATTAAAAATTAAGTAAAAAACGATAGGTTTCTACCTTTGAAACTGCTGTTTGTTTTCAAGCGATGGAATAGGATTGTGTAACAGACTTCTCCTTAGTTCAAATGTATAACCTGATATCACTTTTGATTTTTCCTTAAATTTTATGATGCATTTTTTGAAGTAGCAAAATCATCATTATTCAAAACTTTGCATTTATCGCATGGCCTGTGGTTACCTATAGTAACGTGGTTTTCAGGAAATTGAAATGTTTCTATTCCCCTCCCATTCCACAATGTCAGAATGTGGTGTTAGAAAAATACTGTGTTCCTTTTCATCAACTTTTTGAAATTTCCTAGCTGTTCAATCCCATCCCATAATCTAATATAGAAGATTTGTGCACACCAATTTGCTAATAACTCTTTCGATAACATATTTTTGATTGGCGCTCATAAGTCGTTAGCTGACGAGTCATTCATTTATTATTATATTTCAACCATTGATTTTGATGTTATTGTGTATCGCAGCAGTCATGATCAGATTGGTCGTGAGTCGATCTTTTATCCCATACCTGCTGTGTACCAAGTGTACTACTCTGCTTAATAAATCAATATAATATTATTTATTTTGTTTAATTTGCTACTGGAAAGATTCAGTGTTCATAAAGAAGTTTCTTTTCTTTGTGGGATTCATTGCCAGCGACCAGCTCTGTGATGTTGCGGGCCTGTTGGCTGACTTTCCCAAGTCTTTTGACATATACTTGCACAAAATTCGGTGCTCCTGAAGTATGCGCACCAAGATGTCGCATAACCTGATCCCTGACCTGGTACACAACCTGAGTTCAGGTTGTGCGCCATCTTGGTGCGCATACTTCAGGAGCACCGTGCAAGTATATGTCAAAAGAAACTAGACTTGGGAAAGTCGGCCAAAATTCACCAGTAGCTTTGGGGTTTGGGAAGCAAGCAAATCAGTAAGAAAGATGAAAACGGATAGAAGGCAACCAGAATACTAATGGAACCAACCGCACAAGGCACTTCTTGCAGGAGTGAATCAATCTGTAACAAAACAATATCGAGGAGTCCTGAATCAAATATCATAGAATCTAGCAAACTAAATAACACTAGGGGTTGCTAACGTTCGAGCATGGCTTATTTTCCAGTAAATTTACTCGTTATTGATGTTTCGATATCTGGGAAGTGTCAATTCGTAAAAACTTATGAAGCCACATCAACATTTCAAAAATTCTCTAATAGCAAACAAGCGCTACCTTCTTACTTGGTAATTTCTTCCGGAGTTCTGTTTTGTATTGGTCATCAAGTGTGCGGCCATAAACGTGCTACATGCTCTTTTTATTAGTATTTGAGCATGTCCTTGGTCGCGAGATTTTACTAAATACTTGGTAATTTCTTCCGGAGTTCTGTTTTGTATTGGTCATCAAGTGTGCGGCCATAAACGTGCTACATGCTCTTTTTAGTATTTGAGCATGTCCTTGGTCGCGAGATTTTACTAAATTTATTTTTTTTAAATGTGGTTTCTCTGAAAAAATGTTGGAAATCACTGGTAAATCGCATTTTGGTGCTGAATCATCATAAAAAAAATCAAAATAACCAGTAACATTTGTTACATCACTAGTTTGCTGAGGCAGTCAGTAGACAGAAGTGATGTTGATCGGTTAGTTAATTAGTGTGCTTGGCTGGCCTAGATTGTTGACTAGCTTAAGTTATTTATTCGCTTTCAACAGCCTTAAATGACTTTCAACTTCCGCAAATTTATTCAGAAAATTTAATAAACATCAATTAATGTTGCGTGAATATTAACCCCATGCACCTCGAACAGGGTGAAATTTAGTAATCAATCCTTTTGCAGTGATTTGTTTGTCGTCTTGTAACCGTGAGTTTGATAAGAAAGCTGACGAATTCAAATTTTGCACTCGATATGAGGGGAAAATTTGTTTTTGGAAAACAAGAGTGAGACACAATGCTTGATTTGTATGCAGGTTATGTCAGTGTAAGTTTTTGTTTCATACTGTGCTATTTACCTGTTCTCAGCACTAATGTTGCCCGCAAACAATACAAAAGTAATAATATGGTATATACAAGTGCGTACAACCTGCCCCCAAATCATGCCCTAGGCTAGGGGTCACCAAACTTTTTTGAACGCCGGCAAGGTTTGACTCAAACTGTGTTGAAACGGATCGGACAAACATTTTTGTCAATTCAATACAATGAATTACCAAAAGTTTGGAAATCCATTCAATTTATTCAACAATATAAATTCTACATTTCTGAAGTCTTGAATTTAAAATCTATATCGCAGAATATATATCAAGAACATCTAGCAAAACAAATATACAAGATTTCTAGACAAATATCCTGGTGTTAGCTGTTAGCAAAACAATTGCTGTCATATATATCCGCATGTAAGCAATACAAAAGTTAACGTGACTTGCACTCTTGAGCGCTGTGTACGTTTCTCGTGCTAAAATGAACTTCAACGTGCATTTTAGCACGAGAAACGTACACAGCATTAGTTTCGCCGAAAGACCGCGCCACGAGTGTACGAGTGCATCCTTCGCAGAACGTTGCGTTCCCGTAGGAAATTTTAGCCTATTTTATCACAGCTATTACTAGACAATTTTTGATTACTGCAATTAAACTCCTAAGAAGGCAAAATGATGATTGACTTATTTGATTGATACTTAAACTTCGGAATCACGACCAAAAACTACCAAATAGCATTCAAAATTGCAAAAACGAGGTAGGCTATTGTTTAAAACCACGACTGAAAATTAGGCTTGCACGTAATTTACGGATTTACGGAATTACGTAATTATTTGGAGTTACGGAAGGGAAGTTACGAATTACGTAAAGTCGTAATAATTGCATTGAAACGAGCTTTCTTCAAAGCAGTCAATTTCGTCGATTGCGAAAAATGAAAGCTCAACAAGTAGAAGAAGTTAGGGTTTCGGTATTCGCAGCCGTTTTTCTCCCTTTTCTCTCTCTTGTTACGTAGGTGAAGGAAGGCATGACGCGTTGCCATTTACTAACCTATTATCAACTTATCTGGCATGGCCAATGTTAATTATTAACGTAGTTAAGGGGGAAGAACTGAGTAGGGCCGTTTGACGCCAACACACCTGGTTTCAACTTCTCCCGCAACTTAACCGTAGATAAGGGATAGCACTGCGTTGAGACCGATTGACGCCAACACACCTGGTTTCAACTTCTCTCGCATCTTTTCTAGCATGGCCATGGCCAATGTACATAATAACCGTAGATAGGGGGAAGAATTGTGTTAAGACCGATGGACGCTAACAGCCCGGTTTCAACTTCTTCGGGTGAAATGACTAATGAACGCAGGAGATCAATCTATCAAACATGGTCTATCAAACATTTGTATCCATTTTACTTTTATTTATTATTTACTTGTTCCAGTTTTCCGTTACTTATGGTATATATGTTCCGTTTCTATTTTATTCTATTTCATAGTCACGCGTTTAAATAGTGGGAATTCCCCACCAAGTGTGGATTAGCAATGTTTAACCATTCGTTATTGTTAATATCAACACTTGATATATGAACATGGAATATCATACTGTTTTTAGCTGTTTTGTTTCAGACTTGGGGAATAAACAGGAAAATATTCATAACCTTTCAACACGACGATCTTGTGAAATTTAACGAAGAGCTTTCGCGACGAATTGGAACCAAATAAGCGAAAAGAGCGATTGATCACTCGCGCCAATACCTCGCCGTGATAATTAATGTCGCGTTTATCAAATAGAAATATGACGACAAAAGAGAGATTGCGTAATGAACCAGCGCGACGTTCTCGGCATCGGTAAAGCGATTGAGACGGCAGAGAAACAGCAAAACAACGGATTCCTCACGGACCGCTAAAAATTTAACTGCTATCATATATAATCAAATATGAGCCAGTGTGTATATTCTGTGCGAGATCCATTTTCTATTACAAAATCTTGATGTTCTGTTAACGGTTTTATCGTTATATATCAGTCCGGACTTGGCCTTGCTCATGATGTTTTTCACAATTCCTCGCAATATTTCGGCCTTATATGATTAACTGTCTTACCAAATGCGGCAACTTATTTTGATTTATCGTCGACTTGAATACCACCGACACCCGACCAAACTTGTGTCAATCTTGGCCGATAGGATCGCCGACTTGAGTTAGCAAATAAATGTCACAAAATGCATTGTTTTGCGATATAACTTTGTATAAGTTCGGTATTTAAATTATACGCAAATAAATAATATTTGATTTAAATTTATCGCAAATAATGTTATAAACATTCAGTCCGCGAAATGATTAAATGTAAAATGAAGCATGGTAATTGGAATATCGTCAATAAGTCGACATCAATAATTATTATTATAAAATGCTAACAAGGCAGTAATGTCGGATAATGCAGAAAACGCTGCAAAAACAAGTCTTCGTCGCGAGGAAATCGCAAGGTCGTTGGTTAATAAATTAGAAACCCGTAATTTTTATTCAGTACGAGAGTCGATTTTAAAAAACTATCGTTTCCATAAATATCCGTATACCAGTGTCGGTAATGATAAAATTGATCGCATAAAAATGGGACAGTTAATTTGCGAAGGTGATAAAGGAAAACCAAAGCTAACACAAAATATAAAAATCAGAATAAAATTAGTTTGAATTCACTCCTTGATATTTGTCTTTAACATCTGCCGCCGGCGTGAAGTACTGCCAAGAATATAAAAACCCAACTTCAATGGCCCATTCGGAAAAGAAGTGGATTCAATTGGTTGTTGTGATAGGTTTAAATGCGTGGAAAATATCGCAATTACGGGGTCATTACGTAATTGATTTTGCCGTAATTACGGAATTGATTTTTGTCAATTACGTGCAAGCCTACTGAAAATCTGTCCGAGTGACAAAAATGTCCGAGCGGATGGGTAATGGTCTATTGTTACGTCACTTTTTGCATATTGCTGATTGGCCAATGTTACGAAATGAACAAGAAAATCGATTTTCGGGGAAACATCCATCGGAAAAAATTTGCCATTTTTCCGTGTTATTGCGGGCCAGATGAAGGGACGACGCGGGCTGGATCTGGCCCGCGGGCCGTAGTTTGGTGATCCCTGCCCTAGGCTATAGAATTTGCGAAATCCCCTTCAACAAATATAATTACATATCATAAAAATTATAAAATACCGTATGACGTCATAAAATATTGAATATATATTAAAATATTAGTTACTGACAAAACAAGTACTCTTGAATAAACCAAGTAGATTGGATATTAAGTTTAATTTAAAACATCGACATGGTCCAATTTCTGATAAAAACAATGCTGATGAATAAAATTATCATTCAATTTTACTGGAATGACCTCTTTTCGGGCAAGGGGAATGACCCTCTTCTCGAATTTGAAGTGGTGGACACACTTGAGCGAGTAAAAAATATGAAAAAGTAGAACTCGAATAGGATATATTATACTTGTATATATAAGATACTTAGGTCCATAAATTGCATACTGATTAGTCTCTGTCCACTCTATTATAGAAATGCTCTATTATAGAAATGAAAAGGTATATTGGATTTTACTCAAGCCACAGAACGGAACCGTATTCACA